AGCCGCACCTACTGGTGAACAGACGCTGCAGACTTCAGTGAGCCCTTAAACCGAATAAGTCAGAGTGGCCCCACCGAAGCTCCCTCTCTTTCTGCCGTGACCCAAGGCTCCACTCGGATTGGTTACCGCATCTCGCACATGGGTTGCTCACGTTGCCCAGAGTGCGCGAACGAGGACGCAAGAGTCGGGATTGAGTATAGCCATGCAACTGTAACTGCATACCCAGCGCAATGACTATACCCCATTGCACTCCCGTATATTTAATAAGCCAAAAAATTGGGATTATTTTTCCGATTCAGCAACTTTTCAGATTTGTTCATTGTCTTATGCGGTGTCAAATACAAATTTTAATATGATGCTCTTTTAATATCCACATAGCTATGTTCGAGTATCGCTTATTTTCTAAAATACTGTCATAACTAAAAAGCGACACTTTCGAGCAAATGATGCAGAACAAGCATGTCATATCATATTTTATATTGTGTACAAATTTCGTGCTAAAATCTTCTGTAGTTTCCCGGTAAGAAGGTAATATGCATTTTTCCTACATTTTGGTAGCAAATTGATAACTTTGAAAGCATCTTCTGAAAAACATCGCTTTTTGAGTTGTGACAGTATTTTAGCAAATGAGCGATATGTACATATTTGTATATGTTCATTGCCTGGATAAATATATACTTACATATATGTATAAGAACATTTTGTCCAAGTCCATATGAGTGCATGAGAAAAGACTGCACTCACCGAAAATTTTGTTATTTTTTCATTCATTACCATGCCGCATGAAACCATAGGAATCCCCTTCGCTCAACTGGGTGTCAGTTGCTATAAGAGTATGCACAATTATATGTATACACAGTGGCGGATTTATCGTACAGGCAACATAGGCTGAAGCCTAGGGCGGCAGAATTAAGGGGCGGCAAAATTTAAGACAGCTAAATTAAAAGAAAAAAATTTATTTGGATTCAGCTGCACTTGAAATTGTGTTTGTGTCTGTAAAATATTATTAATGATTCATCTCATTCAATACAATTCAAAATTAGAATTACGCTGCGAATTTTTCCTTAGTATAGCAGTCGTTGAAATTTCCATTTAACTTTCATTCACGCGGCTTAGAAACCTGACGGCGCGCCTGCGCGTGACGCAAAGAAACAGCCGACACGCTGCCCCGAGAACGAGAATCATCTAAAAGGTTACCACACTTGACAACACTGCCGAAAAACGAGCGTGCATTTTCGAGAAAATTCTTGATTCCAAGCCCACCAGTTTTTCATAAGTGTATCATAACGTGAATAATCTGAAGGTCAGCTTCCGTCGTATGTCAAATTAGGCAGTGTATCTGTGTATGGTCTTCTGTTTGTCTTGCGCGAGGTCAAAAAATCTTCCGGATGAGCGATTTTATTTTGTATACTCGCATAGCGCTACTTCAATGTCCTGATAATTGGATTCTACTTGTCCAAACCTCTAAAGCATTTCAGTGCAGAATACATCTTGTTTTACTATATTGTAATAAAGCACTGACAATAACAATCATATTTGATATATATATATATTTTTTTTTTCGTGAAAAAAGGGCGGCAAGTTATGAATTGCCTAGGGGCGGCAAATATTTAAATCCGCCACTGTGTATACATACATATGTACATATATGCCCATATGTATACACTTACAAATGCTTTAGTTAATCGCTAAAAATGAGAGCGACTATCCTCAAAAATCACGCCAGCCATAGGAGAGGGCCTTTGGCGCACGATTGTCAAACATAAAATATTCATAAACACTCTCAAATTACGTACAATTGCATGTACATACATACATACATACGTACATGGAAAACCAAAAGTACCCACAATATCTGGCGCTCTGGACTCCAGCATGATGCGATCATTTCTCCACAAATTAGTTCTCTACATATACCCGATCGAGATGAGTGTATTTCGGCGTCAAAGTATTGATTGAAGATGATTTGTATCATAGAATAAACGTAACGGGAAGTGTCTTAAAAATAGCATAGAAATAAAACAGATATTATCTTAAGTAAATTAGTTCAAGAAAATTTAAGCTGCAAAAAATGGTAAATCTCAACTTTTTAAGGTGGCATAAAAATTTAAAATTAAGCTTTACTTTGAGCAAAAACATAAGAAAATTTGAACTATATACATACATACATAAGCATGTATATAGACAGACTGTAGTGCGGGTTGGCGATAAGGCAGCAAAGAGTGCGTGCGCTTCTGATGTGTCCGAATAGTATTGGCATAGCATTTTTGAACGCATTTAGGTACAAATAAGTACATGTATGTATGTATGTATGTATCTCCCAATCTGAACACATACACATAAAATCCAAAGCCGTACCATATCAAAATTGTGGACTGTTTTGCACAAGATTAGTTTTGCACTATACATTTTGTGACTGACTCTGAATCAGCGTTAAATGCATCCAAACTACTAGAAAACGCAGGGACCGAAAATAACCATTTAATAGCACGATTTTTATATTTATAATATTTGATCGTTTTTTTTTTTGTTAATTATAATTATTTATTACCTTTTTAAATTCTTCTATGGTCTAAAAAGTGAAATCTGCAGATGACGGTTATTCTATGAATGAAAAACTAAAAATTAGTGTTGGGCAGTATCGATACCAAAAGTACTCACAACTCGATTCTTAAAAGGATCGACAGAACCACATTTTTAAAAATATCGATACTGAGCATTTCAAAGTACTCAGTACTCAGAAAAAAACACGAAAGTTTTTACCAACATATGTATATTTAAAAAAAGTACTCAGTACTCACAAAAATACCAAATACTTAAAGCTATCGATACTCAAAAGTCCCCGATACTTCCCAACAGTAATAAAAATCATAAAATAACGGCTAAGTTTGATTTGAAAAATTTATATCCAATTTTGACTGTTAAATTATGATTTTTATTTAAAGATCAGAAAGGTTACGGTTACCGAAAAAAATTATATATAATTATGTTTAATAATGGATTAAACATTTACCAAAGATTGGTAGTGGAACTTGGAACTTGGATTGAGCTGTCTGAAATAGAATCAATTAATAACGAGTTCCAAAATTTATCAAATAGTGGTTAATCTAATTTTATTTGAATAAAACGAGTTCTAGTATGTAGTATTCTCTGATGTACTACTCCAGCGTAAGTTTTGAACTAGTTCGATTTACTACAGCGACTTTTCCTGTAAGTACATACATAAATATTTGGGATGTGTGGACAACAGCTGTGCGCACAGTTTGCCGGTTAGTCTTTCTTTGTTAAGTTAAATTCATGAAAATTTTTAGTGTGTTTCTCCTTTTATATAAAAATGCATACTGGTTAGCGTCCCCGAGTCTAGTCCTGCACGCAATTAGGAAGTAGGGCGCCATTTCGTTATGCTTTCTCCTGGAACGCTTGTCATTGGTTGTTTTTTGCGATGAATCTACTGTTCGCCAAAGATGGACATTCACAGGTGTAGTGAAAAGCCGTTTTTTATACCCCTTAAATAGGTTTCAGCTGTGACAGTTTTGTTATGTGGCTGTGGTTCTATAAATTTATTTTCTCGATCTACATATTTATTTTAGAAGTTCTTCCCTCCTTTGTTTGCCCTATTTGGAGAACTTGAAGCAAGCTAGTCCATTGGGATTATAGCTATTAAGCAGGGATCACATGATTTGCATGGATTTGTACATTTTGGCAGTCACATAGTGGTATTTTTTAGAAGTTTGAGTTCAGCTCAACAAATGAAGTTTCAGACAACACCACTCTGTAACTGTCAAAATGTACAAATCTGTACAGAAGTACAAGTCATGTGTGATCGCTGCTTAGCAGCTGTCACTTGTAAGTTCCTTAAACCCCTCATTCTTTTTGTAGAATGGTATCCAGTTTTTCCTTAATTTGTTTACCAAAGTTCACCCTGTACATCTTGAATAGTAGTAACAGCAGTCCCCGCAAGATGCACTTGTTAAGCCAATGATTTTTTCCCTTGCAATTTAGTTATTTTTCCGACAAGAAGCTGTATTTTGCATTGATACGGTTATCCTGTGCTTCAATCGAATTGGAAGCTATTGCTTTTTTCGCCTTCAATATTGAAGAAGCGTCACTAACATTTAGATCTTTAAGAAAGGTTTGAAATTCCTTAAAATGCCGCGTTGCCGCTTTTAACCAGGCTCCCCATCTCGTTAATAGGTGCGTTCGTTTAAAATCTCCAACAGAAACCAACCAACTGCCAAATTCCGGCGAAATGTCATCTGTTCGCTCACAAGAGAGAAATATCCAAAATAGTACGCGAACAGAAAATTTGCAGAAACTTGCAAGTTAGACGAACAGCTGATATAATTTTTGTTTACATACAAAAGTGTAAAATTTAAAACGTACGAAAAGTCATCGCAAAGTGTTATACTGACACAGTTTATTGATTAAACAAATAACTACTTATTTCTTACAAGTTTAATTAGTCGCATTTTGTAATTTTTATCTTCCAAACCATCAAATTAAATTTTGTGATTTGCGTAAATGCCAACCAGCTGTTTTTGATCAGCTGTTTCCCTGTTGGCAAATTGCTGTTGGCAAAAATTTTTCCAACAGAAACTAACAGCTTCCCCTCAAAATGAAATGTCACTTTGCTCTCTCAATTTCCCCTACTTTGCAAGTTTTTTGCGTACGCGAACGCAAAAACCTGTAAGTTTTGGTTAAACATGAACAATTAACAGCTACGCGAACGAACCTAATATTGGCTGTGGCGGTATTGGGCGATATTGGGACACATGTTCTTAAAAGCTTCAACGTGCAAAGCAGATTTTAAAAATATTTTTTCCCATTCGATATTAAATCGTATTATCGTAATCGATAATAGATTTACAAAAACCAAGTTAATTTTCCTATAAGCTTTCGGGTTTTTCTGGGAATTTATCCAGCCAGCCCTTAAATGGTGCATTCGAGAATATTTTCTTAATGAACCAAGCCGACAGGTATTCGTCAAAATACTTACGCAGCTTCCCATTCTCCTACTTAAGGACTTCGATGAGGTATGCACTTAAAAGCCGCACATAAAATGCCTATTTAGTAGTCAGATATATTTGTAATATGAAGTATTTTACTCCCCCTTCATTTGCAGACGGAAAGAAAGCAATCGGGCTTTTTTGTTCAGCCTTTAACCACCTCGGAAACCATATACATATGTGGGTATATTGTAAGCCATGACCTAAATATTGTAAAATGGCATGAATAACTCGTTGCTGTTATCCTTACCCCAATAAACACTCGCTATTTTCAATGAAATTTAATTTTATTCTAAGGATTTATTGAAAACGCAAAAACCAAATTAAAAGCTTGTAAAAAAAGCAATCATAAAGCCATAGTAACTTTTCAAGGATTGCGGAAAATTATTTGCGCATTTGTGGCATGTAAATATGTGTATTTACACATGTATGTATGTATGTGTATTTTACAATTGGCAATGATTCAAACTTTCATGGAAGGAAATGTATAATGCAAAAGTAACGGCTTTTATAAACGACATTTTCCATTTAAAACACTTACATATTACACGTACATATGTATACTTATGTGCATTAGGGTCGTCCAAATCTTTTTTTAACAGCCACGCCCAAGAACTCATGGCTATCGAAGATAAGGAGGCGTGTATTTTTTATAGCATAATTTACTATTGGTTTTTATTCTAACTAAGCAATCCTTTCCAAGAATATGTGTGGATTATATTATTTTCAAAAAAATTTCATTAGGCACATCCATAGTGTATAATTTCATTTAGCTTATATAATTATCTCATCTCAGTTTATAAATGGGTGGCAACCCTACTTTGAGTGCTTATGCATACGCCTTCCGTTCGATACTTATTGTGGTATTAAATAAGCTTACATTTTTTAACAAACGTCGTTGTACTTTTGTATAGGGGTGGCAACACCATTCCAAAGTATTTTTTTAAAACTCTTCAATTGCTTTTAGTTTTATTGTAAAAAATTCAACATTCTGTTGAGCTTTTAAATAATTTTAAATTTCAAAATAACTGGCAACCCTATTTTTCAAAAAGAAATTTAACATAAACCTACAGAAAACATCGAGTTGAATGCAAAAATAAATGCAGTACGAACATTCAAAGAAGTACCTGTATTTTTGGCCCACCCTAATGTGCATTTATGTATACGTGTACATATATGTATACGTGTACAAATGGCACAGGTTTTGAATAGGCGACAATCCTACTTGCTTATGCAAAACCCATCTTTAGAGGGACGTACCGATTAATAGCTGCTGATATAACCTCAAACATACATACATATGCATATGGGTACATATGTAAGTACATTGTAGTTAGTATTGTATGTGTATGTACATATTGGTTTTTCTGAGAAATATTTATCGCCCGAAAGGGAAACAATAGGCTGCTTGGTATTCCTTTGATCGTTTTCCTTTTTCCCGCCCTTATATTTTGCATTTATTTTAATTTAATTTTTATTTATTTTTTTCTTAGGCAACGAAACTACATCATTTCGCATTCCTACCCATTTTGTTACCGCTTTTACATCTGTTGACATCTTCTTTAACGGCAGTGGACGCAGCCAAAATTCTTGGCTTATTTGCACATCCCAGTGAAAGCCATTTCGCCGTCATGCAAAGTTTAATGATGGAGTTGGCGAAGCGCGAACACAATGTAAGTGGAATGGCATTAAAATTTTTTTATTAAGATTCTTTACACATACTTACATGAATCAGTGATGCCATATTGTGGGTAATTTCCCTATTTGAGGGATATTTTGCAGCACAAATTATTAAAAGGGAAGAAAAGTACATTTCAAATAAAAAAGGGATTTTCATTTAAACGTACTTATATCAATCAGTGATGCCATATTATGGCTAATTTCCTTTTTGAGGGATATTTTGCTGCACAAATTATTAAAAGGGAAAAAAGGGATTTTCATTTAACACAAATATCGATGCATAATTGATCAATATTTAAGAATATTCGACACTCTTACGTAATTAATAACTCTGAAGATGTGATGTGGAGTAAAATGATGTATAAGTAAAAAAAATTATAAGGACAATTTTAAAATTTTTCTCCCGAATAATTTGTAATAGTGATAGTTTTAAGAATTTCCAGTAAGTATGCACCAATTAAAAAAATGTTTCTTCAGAATCTTGGGTGTTAATAAACACTGAAGCTAATTTATGAATGTAGTAGATGTTCTTAAATTATTAATGTTAATATTATATGTACTATATATATGTATATTAAGGTGACCACATGAATTTTTATTCTTTATAAACCGAAATATATGTTCTGAGTTCTTTGGCAATTTTGTGGGATAAATTTTAAAGATGTGGGTAATTGAGGGATTTTTACCGATTTTCGTGGGAAATTTACCCGAGAATGTCTGGCATCACTGATATGAATATGTACATATATCAATTTGATATTATTATTTTATTTCAGGTTACTGTTTACAGCAGTCATCGGCTTAACGAGCGCGTTGAAAATTTAAAGGAAGTTATTATAGAGCCGGAATTCCCATTTTGGAAACATTGTAAGTGTAATTTCCTTAATAAGCCATTAAATTTTTTTTTTTTTTTTTTTTTAAGAGTATCGGACATCCTACTAATATAAGCCGCCTTCGATTAGCCACGTCTATGCTCGCTTGATTTCCTCCCAGCTAGTTTAACGAAAAATTTGTATGTGGCGATTTTGGTTCAAAAGCGATTTATTTCAAAAATATTTTTGAAGAGAGTTGCCACCGTTTTGATGAAATATTTTAATTGGGTGTCAAAATTGTGTGGTTTAAATAAGCCTTATTTCTAAAATATTTTTGATACCGTTTGCGACTTGCTGAACAAGTTAAGATCAATTTAACTGATAACTTATTTAAAAGCTTTTAATATATTATATACAAAAACGTCAATCGAAAAGAGTTTAAGAGGGCTTTATTTCTTATTACTATTTTTACGGAGATGTTTGCCCGCTAGATATATGATAGCATAACGAGATAAACCGCACACATATCACGCATGCGGGGCCGCGGACAAAGGCTAGTTTAAATATAATTTTCTTAAGCTCTACCCATAATTACAGCCGAAGTCGCGACGGTAAAGCGGTAGGCGGTTAGTGAACAGCTGAACAGCTGAACAGTGTCCGCAGTGAAATATGTCATAGTAAACATAATTGCGGAAATAAAAATAGAAATAAATTTAAATCAACCGAAAAACTTCGGCGGTAAAACCGCTGCCGCCACAATTATGATCCATTCCATATGCCTTTGGGAGTTTGAATTTTGACAGCAGTTAACCGGCGACCGCTTAACCGTCGTCCGCTGCAATTTTGGATAGAGCTTTAAGGATGCATATTTTCCGTCAATTTTATATCGTTGAGTAAAGTTAAAAATATGAGTATATGTACTTAGAAGTCAGTGAGGTTCGTCCCAATGCTGACGGATCTGTTAGTGTTACTCAAAGTAATTTTACAAGATCGTATTTATTTTTCGGGGATATATAATTCAGGCAAGGGACACAAAGAAAATTTCTTTTCGTGTTGTTGAAAGCGGCTTTTAAATCGACCAATAGGAGTAGATGTTGTGCTTCAATCCTTCTATCGTGGGTATTTTCCAAGATTTGACATATGTTGAGGACCCGGTGGGTTTAGCAGGTCTAAGGCCAAACTGACCAGGCCTAGGCAGTTCGTTGATGGTACGCTGCAGTCTTTCATAAGACCTTATAGCCGATGCATAAAAGGCTGATCCCGCAGTTGATGCCGCTTAGTTCTTGTGAATTAGGCATACCAAACTTAAATTCCGATCGGCAAGCATGCCTTCGTCAAATAATATTATGTCTAAAAAATATGAGCGCATGCATGAACAGCTTAGCTTGCAGACCGGCATTTGAACTCCGGTCACTAGGTAGCCGTGTTTGTTCGTACTGAAATTCGCCCTTGTCGCGAAACCGTCCATAAAGTGCTTAACCTTCTGATAAAATTGTTTGCGCTTTTTCTGCCAGCCAACATTTCAGGTTTGTTTAGCTGAGGTTCAGAGATGGGATAGAGTTGTGAGAGTAAAGGAGGTAGAAATTACATTTTGTTACGTGAATATTTATCGAGCGCACTTCATAATCCGGTTCTTCGAGAGATAAGGGGTCATTCAGAGGAAATAGTGAGCAGGATATGGCTTTTTTTAACATTCATTTATTGGGGGCTTCATTTGAAGAGTCAAGCATTAGCTCAGGTAAGCTGCTCTGCAATGAGCTGAGATTTATTTAGGAGACATTTGGGAATTGCATAAAAATGCAACACAATTGCGGTTGTGCGGGAAGTAGCCCGAGACAATCGATGTATGTATTGAAGAGTGCTGTCAGGGAGTAGGTAGGTGTGAGAGTGGCGAATATGCTGGACATGATTGTAGCATTTCGATGCTGAGTTTTTCTTATTATGCCGGATGCAAATATTTTGCTGCAGGGTGTGCGTATGTCTTGGCGACGGTGTTTCTCTCCGACCACGAGTCCTACACCGAATTCTCGCTCTTTACAAGCCAACTACAGTAGACTTTGCCCTATCCTTTGCATACCCTGGGTCGGCATTTTCTTTTACAAGGACATCAACCAGCTGAACAGAGCCACTTTCCCAATTAAAGGACCAGCTCTCAAATCATGGTTCTTAGAACATTTGAATAGATCGTCATCAAAAGTAGCATTTCCGATTTAGAATTTAGAATCCACAGCTCGTACAGTAACACTAAAAATATAATTCCTTGAAATAACTAAAAAACCTAAAAAGAGTGTCTAGCATTTGCAAATGTTTTAAAATTTTTCTAAACTATGTACATATTATCATAGCGTAATTAAATAACCTACTCGCTTAAATTCCCACTTCCTTAATTACTCTCATTTTCCTTTTCATTATTTCCGCTTTCTCACCAGTGCTAGAAGTCACCGATAGCCAGACAGGTGGTCTACAGAAACTGAGTCGATTGGCTGAGTCTTCAATGCAAAAGTCACTGGCTGCTGTGGGCGCGGCCGCCGTCGATTATTTCCTGTCGAATGCAGCCGTACAAAAATTACTTCGTTTGCCCGTCAAAGAATTCGATTACGATCTGGTGATTGTCGATTTATTCTACACTGAATCACTGCTGGCAGTGGGACATTTCTACAACAAACCTACTGTGGCTATTGTGAGTACGAATTTCGAGAGCTACATGCAACATGTGCTGGAGCAAATGGTACCCGCCGCCTGTTCGCCCAACGATTACGAAACATATCAGCCGGCGATGGGCTATTGGCAACGCTTGAGTGCGATACGTGGTTGCTTGTCACGCCGCAAGCAATTTGCGAAGTCCAATTGGGGTGCGCAAGAGCAACTGATTCGGAAACATTTTGCACACTTCAAAGGTAGACAAACTATGTACCGCTCAATTAACAACGTATTGTATGTAAATAAATGAATTCCACGTGTTTAATTAATTTTTTTTTTAAATATCCTATAGGTGTAAACGAGCTTAACATAGCCACGCTGCAAGCAGAACTCGCAATATTACTGCTCAACAGTCACGTCCCACTGATGACGTTACGACCGCTGCTCGCGAACACAATCGCCGCTGGCGGCATGCACATACGACCGCCACGCGAATTGCCCTGGCTCATACGCCGTTTTCTCGACGAGTCGCGCGCTGGTGTCATCTACATGAATCTGGGAAATGAACAGCACTGTGGCGACATACCGAAACCGCTGCTACATTTACTTGTCAACACGCTGGGAAAACTGAAAGAGCGCGTGCTATGGACATGTCACGACCATACAGCGATGAAGGATTTACCTGCCAATTTTATGGTGCAACATGCCGTGGCACAAGCGGACATATTGGCGCATCCTCATGTGCGCGTATTCATTATGAATGGGGATTTACTTAGCCTACAGGAGGGCATCGTGCGGCATGTGCCCATGATTGGTGTGCCCATATTCCGCAATGAAGTGCGCAATATGGCGTTGGCGGTGCGGCTGGGTGTAGGCATACAGCTAAATCACGACAATCTCACTGAGGTGTCACTTAAATGGGCGCTGCAGGCGCTTAAAGACGACAGAACATATCCGTTGTCAATACGTCAGGTGGGCACCGCCTTTCGTGATCGGCCGCTTGGCGCTGTGGAAACTTGCATGTATTGGATGGACTATGTTTTGCGTCATCAGGGTGGTGTCCAATTGAAAACACTTGGCATTGGCATGCCATCCAGCCAACTACATCTCTTCGACTTGTTTATGTACTATTTTGCTGTGGCGCTGTTAATCGTAGGCGTGCTGGCAGGTGGCTTCTATGGCGCAATAGTATTTCTTAAAAGGCGCGAAACGGAAAAAATGTACTCGAAGTTGAGTTAGTCGAGATTTGTGCAACTTCTAACTACTTTAATAAATAAATAAATTTTTTTTTTTTTACTTTAAATAAGTATGAACCCAAAACTTTTAATGAAGGTTACCAAATAAGCCAGAGAAGTCCAAAGTTAAATGATATTTTCTAAGTGTTCCAAAACCTAGAAGAGACCATTTGTATGCGATCGCAACTCACAACCTTTTCGTTGACTTCAAACCCACTTTTGACAGCACCGCAAAGGAGCTCCTTCTAAAATTAGTTCTTCAATCCTGACCAGTAACTTTATTCCTATACGATGCGGCTAGCGTATACTGATGATATTGTCTCAATACCAGAGACGTCAGAGTGGCCTTCTTCAACTTGGAGAAGGAAGCAATAGAGGCTGCTCAAAAAGGATAAGGCATTGTACCCCCTATCTGCAAGCGAAGAGAACTTACGCGTATTGGGCCTTACTCTAGGATCCAGTATCAAGACCATCAATAATGTGAGCCTGGGGCTCAAGCGAAGGATAATACTTACCAACAGGTGCTACTTTTGACTTGGTATATAGTTTAAAAACAAAGCTCTCCTCTCTCTCACATTCCAAGGTGTATTTAACAAGGTGGTGTTGGGGCGACAGCTGAGTTTTTCGCCGTAGAGGGCACTACATCAAAATGATGTATTTGTTGTAACTCATATCAATGACAGAATGGATATCTGCGTATAATTTGTTATTGTAATGTTTTACTTATTTACGAAAGAGAGAGCTTTTACTCTGCACGAGTCTATTCAAAATGTATAAAAAGCTTTAAAGAGCCTTGCCCGCGGACAAGGTGGTGCCTATCACCACTTTAAATCTCTGCCTCTCTGTTCTTTTACATGGAGCAGATATGCAGATGATGCTGAACTTTGTTGAGATGCTCTTGATGCAGTTTGCCGCATGCTCAGACTCACTTCTAAACGAATTTGACTCAGTAACTCAGTACGGATTTCTTAGCTAAAATATTCGATACATAATCAGCGCTAGGGTGTCCAGATTGTTTAAAAAGAAAAGAGCCATTTCTGGTGATGCTGGTACATACCTTTCTTAATTTAAATTCTCTTAAAAAACGGCCACATATCTTTTTTTTTAAATGAGTTTTTATTCAGCCTGATTCTAAATATTCCCGGTAGTTCTTTCCCAGCGGATTTAATTTTTCGCGAGTGTAAAATCATCCAACTATAAACTCCCTGGGAAATTAATTCTCCCTGTTTTGTGGGAGAGGTAATTCCGAACTTCAAATCAAATTTTTCTCACACCTTCAGGAGTATATCTGTATAAGAGATACCAATTTTTTCATTTGTGATATTTACTTTTCTATCAAACTTTTTTTGAAGGTTATCCCAAGACAGCTTTCCTCTTACGAGTTGGATCTTGGATTTAGTTAAATTAACTTTCTTTCTTATTGGCAGACCTCTTTCAGGGCATCATTTCTTAGTCAGTTTTAAGGATGTTTGCAATCTAGAGGAAGGATTGCCTTCAATTCTGTCCACTATGTAGAGTTTTTTTGCATAGCCAAAAGCGTTAAATCCTTTACCTGTTAAGCTTTTCAGGAGCACAGTTATTTTACAATAGGAATATCGTTTCTTGGCCTTGGATTTTTCTTCGTATGATGTACTATCAAACGCAGGTAAAATGTCAAGGAAATCGCAAAATATTATCTCGTTATACTTCAATGCTTTTCAATTACCAGAGTTAGATTATGAATTCGGTAAATGCTGTAAGAAATAATTATCACATTTTACCAGATTTTAAAAATGTACCAAATCTGGAAGTTAGGTAATAGTGTACCAAAATGGCAACCGTGCTCTTGACTCCATTGCCTCAGTAGCAGAGTAGGCCACGCTTTCATTTTCATAACTCAATTATGCCACCTCACTAAGCTGGCTCATCAAAACGGGCTTGAGTCCATGAGTCGACCGCGAAAATTCACTGAATTACCCAGGCGACAAGTTTTGAATAAGAAGTAATAATGAATTTCTGGAAGGAGCTCCATAATGGCATGACATTGTCAAATGCCTAAAAATACAACGTTCGCTATGAAATGTCTTATGTTTGATCCCCATAAGTAATTGGCGGAGCTTCGCAAAGCAGAGCGAAGTTTTTTTGTGTTTTTAAAATCGGATAACGGAAAGACGTGCCTCAAAGGCCCTTAAAGTTCAGCAAATTCATGGAACTTTTCACAAAGCGGCCAATATTTTGCCTATAAGTCAGTGGGGAATTTTATATATTTTATTAGCACTTGATGGAGTTTTGTCCCCAGATGTAAAAATAGCTACAGTATTTTTAAACCTCCGCATCTTTTAAAGTTATTGAGGTTTTTTTGGGAAAAAGCTATGAGGCCTTTTGATAGCTTCAACGTGGCGGCTCAAATGTGGCATCTAAACTCACCGTAAATTAGATTTTGCTTTACAAATTTTGTGCCACCGGAGAACCGATCACTAAAAGAGAAAAGCTCCATGTTGACTCAGTATTAAAAAAAAATTGTATCTATACCTAGGTGAATTGCATGACTTTGCTTTGAGTTTTGCTAAATTATATCCATAATTAAATACAATATGCTGAATACTCTAAATAAAACAATGGTTGTTACGAATGACCTTACAATAACGGTTGATATCTATCGGTTAGTCCATCATAATTGACATTTTCGACATTTCAGGCAGAGCGGCGTAGATTCATTGATGGATGGGGTGACGCAATCGTCAAATTCCACGTTCCATCAACTTGTCTGAACACTAATTTTTCATTGTAATATATTCAAATTATTATACCAAAAAACAAATTTAAATAATGTAGACAACTGAAGAATACATATGTGGATCGCCATAATTGGACACTTCTTGACTTACTGCCCATTATTTGAATAGTATTAATAGTTTCATTTGTTTACCATGCATCATTACTACAAATATTACAACTAGTTTTCACCAGATTTTGACTTCAAACAAATTCGAGGGGGCAGAAATCTATTCCAATTTTCTTTCCTGCTATATTCTCAACACAGCAAACTGGACTCACTGTCTGTTATGAGTAACTGCATAAGTAAATGACGAAGTATGTTCGTGCATGTCCATTAGAGACTGCCCCACAAGGAAAGTGATACCTGGAATGTTATCACTTCCCTAACGCCCAGCTTTCCGAAAACCAGCAACTTTGTAACGGCCGTTCATCACGCATGGCGCTCGGTCATATGGAACCCAGGTCCTACTGAGTGGACCACCACTCTGCTAAGGAGACCGTCCCTACCCCGTTCTTAACTGCGATTTGGTGGTGGAGCACGCGTATATGGCCCTAGACTAAGACTTTCAATACCCTTGGGACACTTCCCAAACAGGAGCCTATGGAATTAGTTTGTGCGCTGAGATTAAACAATTATCGAAGTGAAAGGATCCTTATATTAAGTAATATTCGAGATCACATCCGTAAAGTCTTTTTGGAAAATGCTTATTTTGAATAGAACCTAAGTTCCCAAAATTACATTTGAAAACATAGCTACTTTGAATGTAAAATTCGAATTAGAAATTGATCTAACTTTTTATTCACTTTTCTTTCCATGAGGGAAGTATTGCCACGAAAAGTTAGGTCATTTTTGTAACTGCTCGTATCATAATATCAGTCTCAGAACTGATGTAAGTCGTTCAATAACCGCAACAACAAATAGAACAATTAAACGTCTATACACTTGCATTGTTTTACATACATATACATTAGGGTGCATCGCTCTCCATATACAAAAAAAAATCAAGTGTTTTTAATCGAAATTATGAAATAAATTTTAAGGCATCCGCGAAAATATATCAGAAAAATATTTAGATTTAAGTGACATAACCGATTTGAAAATTCATCCGAAAATTTATTTTTTATAAATAAAATTAATTTTATTCATAGAAGAGTTTAAGCTTCAAAATATTTAAAAACAAAAAAATTATGCGACTTTTAGGTGTGTATATGCATATATCGGTCCAGCTCACGTTAATCTTAATATTTTTCCGAAATACAAGTATTTTGGCGAAAGTCCTACAATATAGTACATTTTATAACTCCGTTGGGAAAACCGTAACTTTTTTTTTTGTGAGGCTCCCCAATATACATGCATCAGTATGTATGTACATATGTAGATACGTATGTAGCAGAAAACGCAGTAATTAACCGCCGCTAGCCAGATTCACGCGAGATTAAAGTGAATCGCATCCTCCGAATATTAGATACACAAACGATAACGACAATCTTCATTTAGAATTGGATCTCCAAAGTAGCAACACTGAAAGCGGAATTTTTATTTAAACTTGAAGTGTTTTCATAAAATAAATTAATCAAGTACATTACTGTTGAAGGAATTTTTGTATTTTGACGGTGAAAAAGTGATAACATACACACATACATACATAAATATTTTGTGTAACAAAATGATACGTGCAATTATTTTCTTTGCTATTTGGGTGTTGGCTGCAATTGTAAGAAATTCCTTTATACCAAAGAATCTATAATATTTGTTTTTGTTTTTTTTTAGTGTCGCGCGGAACAAAAAACCACCACAGATTGCTCAAAGTTACCTAAATCAATTGTAGGTTAATAAATTGTGTTATATATACATAACTGTATACTATACATATGCATACTCATTAACATACATACATGTTTTCTACTTACATATGTACATATTTACTTCCTATCATTAGGCCCCTCAAAGTTGCTGCCGCTTTCCGGAACCGTTTCAAAATCCCATATTAGATGAATGCTACAATTTGCATAATGACATAGGACAGGTAATAAATAGTGGAAATTGTCTTATGTACTTATGTAGAATTATAAAAAAAAAAATAATATTGTGCTTAAAATTTCAGAAGCACTAATGCATTTTGTTTATTACATTTAGTGCTTTGTGGAATGCCTATTCAATAGATCCGGTATTTGTCGTCAAGGAAAATGCAGTTATCAACGTGCCATCGACTATCTCGATCGCGAGTTTGCGCTACAGCAGTCAGCTTTCAAAGAAATTTACAAGCGTGCTTTCAAGAAGTGTATTGCAAAAGGTTAATTGATTTGAATAATTGAATTTGTAAATCTTTGTTTTGTAATATCGCTTTAAAACTTTATATATGTATTTTTATGAACGTATGTACGTAGATTGTTCAGCTTTTAAACTGTCTTATTTTTTAGCAAATGATGTACTCGGAAATATGGTAAAACGTTTTAGTCGCCATGGCTGCCATCCTTTACCGGAAATCATACGATTTTGTGTGCGCAATGAAATGTTTACTTCCTGTCCAAATGGTTATTGGAACAATAGAGTGGCCGGATGCAGTAAGAAACGAGATTTTATACGAAATTGTATTAAAGAAAATTTATGAAGAAGAAATTATGACTAAGTAAATATGTATATGCAATCTAAAAATTTATGGACATACATAAATAAAAACAGATTTTAGAATAAATTTTATTCAAAGAAATTAAATTTGATTTTAAATGTGAAAGTCGATCTAAGATAAAAAAAAAAATTAATTAAATCAAACAAATTGAAAAATTTTATTAAATAACAAAAAATTCATAGCGTAAAATAACGTTTCTAATAGTGCTACAGAATAAGCCTTACAAATAAAAGGGTGATCGAAAGTATCGAAAAGCTTTGATATAAACTCTTTGATGCCAAAAATCAAATCCGAGTGCTTTTATTTGCTTATATGAATGTTTAAAATAATGATAAATGAAATAAAAAATCAATAAACCTTAAAATATGAAAATCGAACATAAAAAATAAGAGTAATTAACATAAAATGCAACAAAGCAAAACTAAAAGAAATAAAAATAAACAAATCACATTTAACATAAAAATATTAATAAAGCCAAAAAAAAACCTACAAAATAAAATTAAATAAAAAATAAACACAACATTTCTTATAATGCTACAGAAGTTCATTATAAAACGGGTTTTTATAAAAACGCTGATGTTCTAAATTTTTTTTTTCTTGACATGTTGAAATGCAGCTAAAAATGTGGTTTTTACATATCGTTTTAATAAAAAAACGTTTCTCTTTTTTTATCACAAATAAAAATATTCTGATGTAGCGTTTCTGAATTTCCAAAAAGAGAGTTTTTATGAACCACTCCAAGCGACATTTTTTCTAAATTTTCCTTATGATGGAGAAATGCTCCTCGAGCTTATAAAGTTATTTAACAAATAACGAATAAAAAGTTTACATATAATATTTATTTACTTACATACAGTGGTCGAAAAGATCTCAGGCGACCCAAATATAGACCAGTTTTCATATTTTTTTTTTAATTTGAGTTATTTTTAGCTTTAATATTCTTTAACAAAACCCATATAAATCCAAGTTTAAAACTTTGTGCAATATGCAAAAAAAAAAACATTCAAATAACTTTCGTAAAAATTTGTAGCATTTTATTTAGATTCTCTAGAAAGATTTTTGAAGGTTTTGTAGCTCACTCAATTCTAACATAATAAAGTGCATGTTTTAAGTGGCTAGAAATGTTTGTTTTAGAATTGCCCACAAAAACTTCCCCACGAGTTGGCTTCCCTGGTATACATATACGCTATCCTTGAAAAGGCCGCGAAAGCTTCATTCAACTGCACGACTTGTTCCCACGCACACAGTGACATCGATTGCATGCACACTACAAAAATGCTCTGCCGAGGCTGCCCACCTCTGATCTAAACACATTTCTGCACCATAAAGAATATTTGGCAAAAATGTCGCTTAAAGCTTTTTGGCGGTTAGACTGGGTTCACACAGAGAAACCTTTGTTGCTCATTTTCGGCAATTTCTCTTTTGGTGTTGCTCTTCGGGTTCACACAGAGCAATTCTTTTGTACATAATTGTTGTTGTCAGCTGTGAACGGCCAACTAGAATTACTCAGACGAACGAGAGCACAAAGCGTGTTGCCCGAGCACTAGCAACTCGGTGCCCTCTCCCACAAGTAAGGAGTTGCCGCAACAAAAGTTTCTCTGTCTGAACCTAGACTTAGGGCTCGATATATGTATCTCGGTAACTGGTCTATTAATTTCTACCAAACTCGGTACAGTTATTAATCTTGCCGCAGAAAAGGAATATGTTGATAATTTTTTTAAATCGGACTAAAATTACGCCCACTTACGGTATATTTCAGAAATACGAAAACTCCGACATTCCAATAACTACAGACGCCAATTTACTCAAAGTTATAGCAATAACTTAACAAGAAACAAGATTCTAGATTTTGGGAAAATGGGCGTGATACCACCCACCTATGCCTACATAAGTGTATATCGATAATCGCTTTATCGATTTCCACCAAACTTGGTCCAATTACTTAAATATATCAAAGCATATTATCGAAACTATTGAGAAAAACTCTTGCTTATCATGCATTTCGTTGAAGGGTGAAAAACGATATTTAATACTTGCCGCGGGTATGTAAAGTTCGGTTTCGCCCGAATTTGTACTTCTTTAGTTGTTTTGGTACTGAACTACTTAAAATAGTAAGTACAAAAAAATTTGGGTTAGGCCACTTCTACTCTCACAGCGTAAATTGTCGAGAGGTGACCGTGGTTAGAAAAATCGTTTGCGTCAATTTTTAATGTTGCAGAAATCAAAAATCTAATTGGTTCTTGTCAAGCGCTAGTCTTATCCCGCCAGCCGTGTCGCCCGAATCCATTAAATTTAATATCCATCATAGTCTTTTATAACGTTTTTCATATTCCCGGTTCCACTTTAATCATTCAATTTTTAAATAATACAAGTTAAAATCTAAACTACGCACAAAAAGTCGCAATTTTATTATTTTTTATTCAAATAGTTAATTACCAAAAAATGTCAAATCAACCCTGCAAATGTAACCACTCTGCAATTAGAACTGTCAGTTTGACATTTCAGTACTGCCAATATGACGTCAAACGAAGAAGCATGTCTTCCTTTCTCAAAAAGTCGTGCCTGTGCTAAAGACGTGTTTGAATACTTTTCAAGTGTTTTAACAGGTAATTTTTGCAAAATGTCCCAAGTAATTCTTTTAAAAAGTGTCTGGCGTAACTGCTGCACAAGGAAACAGTGAATTTGTAACTGAAATATTCCACTTCGTCGTTGGAGCACACGTGGATATATGATTCCTCCGTTGTATGCAAATGTCAAATCGGGCTTTTGTGAGGTTATGTTGCCGATGTAGAGCATTGGACGCTGGACACAATTTTATTTACTCAAACGCTTTTCACTTTCCTATAATTGTTATACCTTTATTTACAGAACAGCTGCAAAATGTCCGGTACAACCGCCACTATTCGCACCCGCAAGTTCATGACCAACCGCCTGCTCGCCCGCAAACAAATGGTTTGCGATGTGCTGCATCCAGGTTTATCTTCAGTCAACAAAAAAGACATCCGTGAAAAACTCGCCGCTATGTACAAAGTGACACCAGATGTGTGCTTCGTTTTCGGTTTCCGCACCAATTTCGGTGGTGGCCGCTCAACTGGTTTCGCGCTTATCTACGATACCTTGGACTATGCCAAGAAATTCGAACCTAAATACCGTCTGGCGCGTCATGGACTCTTCGAACAGAAGAAACAGACCCGCAAACAGCGTAAGGAACGCCGCAACCGAATGAAGAAGGTGCGTGGTACTGCCAAGGCTAAGATTGGCCAAACCGCCAAGAAGTAAAAGTCTACCGGAGAGTAGACACAAGAACAAATGCGGCTCCAAATGTTCCAATAATTATGTTCTTCATAACTATCGACGGAGCGCGTATGTTAATCTTGTTTTATATAAAAAGTATATAAATTTTACTTTGTTTACCTTTGAAGTGGTTTATAAATACTGTCCGTTCCAAGAAAGTGTGACGAATGGAGCAAGGCCACATTTGCTTCTTTAATTTTATAAGTAAATAAAATTCACTTAAAAGTATTGGGATTTCGTTATTTATTAAGTGCTGCTGATTTAATAAGCAGAGGATATTTTGTGATTCTGGGACAATAAATTTAAGTGAATTCGTAGTGAGTATAATTAACTTTAGATGAATTATGGTTTACTTGTCAATTGCAAACACTGCAAAAAAGTAATACACAAATTAAACTAAGTGCATTAGATGGTTCCCTATATAATAAACCTGAATTAATCCGGTTATAAGCGTTTGCATAAGATTGCTTTGGAAACAAAGCTAAATACAAGCAGGATATACGGCTATTTGTTTGTCTAATATATCAGATAAACTTTTATAAATTCTAATTATACAAAAGAATGATTTCAAGTACAAATTTTTTTTATTTGTATATGCAAAGAACGTAAATGTATAAATGTACATTTACGTTCTTTGTTATACCCCTGCAAAAATCGTTGGACCATGTAGTCTATTTGTGGTATATTGGAGTACTTACAAAAGTGCTCCTCTGTCATGCTGTAGCGGACCAACTCGTGTCTCTGCGCCAGCTTATTGTTACCCGATCACTGCTCGTGTTTTAACGAAATGTGATTGAAGTTAAGCATTTGAAAGTACATTTGCATGTCTGGCTGTAGCTGAACGTGTAGAGATGCTAGCTGTTAGTTCTTAGCTCCCAGCATGTTCGGGTTCGAATGTCGTCAGAGGCAACATGTAATTTTTAATTTTTGTTTCTGGTTTTTATTAATTTCAAAAAAAGCATCTGCGAAGTGAAGAACAAAAGCGTGTACAAACGAAAAAATATAACGATAATGTCATTGGAGTATGTTGGGAGTAGTTTTGTGCTACTCTGATGTAATGCAGAGATGGAGTATATGGTCCTGCCCTAGGACATCGCAATGTTAATTGGACCATATTTTTTATATGAATTGTGGTTAATTTTGGGTACTCCTTGGTCCTTCGGGAGTACTCCTTACATGCATGCATGGAGTAGTCGCGATTTTTGCAGGGACATTTACGTTCTTTGTTATACATTTACGTTCTTTGGTGGTAGCGCACTGTTAACAAATTCTTTTTAAACAGCTGGCAACTCTCACGAAATTCACCACACCATGTGCATTATCAGCTGTTGGCCCAAACACGTTTGTTTACCTTCCTAGAAAAAACTTACTTTTGTTGATGAATATTTTTGTTCGAAATGTTTAAAAGGGATACAAGTCCTTTTGCCACTTTGGGCTTACGACCATGGTTGACAAAGCAACTGCAAAAGTTGGGTAAGTAAAAGTATATGCGCCCCAAAAAAAGAGTCAATTGAAATAGAACTTCCACTTGTAGGACTCAAAACTGCTACGCCCATACAGCAAAATTGCATTCCAGCAATACTCAACGGGCGTGATTGCATTGGTGCCGCTAAGACTGGCTCCGGCAAAACATTCGCATTTGCACTACCTATTCTAGAAAAACTGAGTGAGGAGCCAACCAGCCATTTTGCATTGGTACTAACACCCACACATGAATTAGCTTATCAGGTAACAACAGTTGGTGATATTTTACTTTAAGATAATTTTGTTTGAACTTTTTCGACTTTAGATTTCGGAGCAGTTTTTGGTTGCCGGTCAGCCCATGGGTGTGCGAGTATGTGTCGTTTCAGGCGGAACTGATCAAATGGTCGAAAGCCAAAAACTCATGCAACGTCCACATATTGTTGTTGCCATGCCAGGACGACTAGCAGACCATTTAACTGGTTGTGATACTTTCTCCTTCGATAATCTTAAGTATTTGGTAGTAGATGAGGCAGATCGTATGTTAAATGGAGATTTCGACGAAAGTTTAGCTGTAATTGAACGTTGCTTGCCACAAGAGAGACAAAATCTTTTCTTCTCGGCGACGATGAAGGATTTTATGAAGGAATCAAGTATATTCCCCATTGCACAAGATGTATATCAGATATGTAGCTATTAGAAGGGATAATTTAATATATGGAATATAATCTTTTGCAGTGTTTTGAGTGGTCAGAAGAGTCTGATGTAGCAACGGTTGATACACTTGATCAGCGTTATATGCTTTGTGCTGACTACGATCGTGATATGGTATTAATTGAAGCGCTGCGAAAATACCGCGAGGACGATGAAAATGCAAATGTCATGATTTTCACCAACACAAAGAAGTAAAACAAATATTAATGGGTGATTAAACAATGAATTCTTAACCACAATCTTCTAGATACTGCCAGTTGCTGTCTATGACCTTAAAAAATATGGGCATTGAGAATGTCTGCTTACATGGATTTATGCGTCAGAAGGAACGAGTTGCCGCTTTAAATCGATTTAAATCCAACCATGTTCGTACCCTCATCGCTACTGATGTAGCAGCACGAGGGCTGGACATTCCGAGTGTACAACTGGTAATCAATCATCGCCTACCTCGTACTCCAAAAGAATATATACACCGTGTTGGACGGACAGCACGTGCGGGACGTAAGGGAATGGCAATTTCTATATTCAGATTTCCAAGAGACTTGGAATTGCTTGGTGAGATAGAAGCAGCGATAAATGTTAAACTAACAGAACATCCTCTTGATCGTGCGTGTAGTATTTCTTGAATAATTTGTTAGATTCATGCTAATGTATGCATATCGTTTGACATTGTAGAACGCATGGTAGAACGTATTTTTATGCAAGTTAATGTAACGCGGCGTGAATCGGAAATTCAATTGGATAATAACGATTTCGACGAACGTGCTCAGAACTATAGGCGCAAACAGTGGATTTTGGAAGGCAAAGATCCCGATGCTATGGAGGAAGCGTAAGTTGTATTTCTTAAAATATGTTAATATTTATTAAAAAGTATATTAACATATATAAATAATCGTCCAATTAAGTTTTCGTAAAAAGCAACGAGATAAATTACGTGAAGCTCGTCGCCAACGTAAAGAGCGCCAGAAGGAATGGGCTGAAAAAGAAGCAGCGCTTACGCAAGATGAACGTTTCATAACTGTTGATGCTAAAAGATTTGAGAAACGTAAAAAATCCAAGACGCTCAAAGGAAATGATGACAATGGAAAAAATGGGGAACAAACGACTGGCAAAACAAATAAAGGATTACATTTAGCACACAAGTCAAAACTAATAATTAAAAAAAAATCGCATAAGAGTGCAAAACCTTTGAATAGCAAAAAAAACACCATAAATAAAAATAAGAAGCAAAGTGCTTAACATATTTGAAGTAATTAATTTGTTTTAAAGAAGGTTCCAAGTGTGTATATCACGGGGAATGTTTTACTTTACTTTATCTATAACATAACTTACCATTAACTATTGCCAGCACATATGCATGTCTGTATGTACATAATGAATAATAGTACGGTAAACTTTGTTCGACCATTTCATAAGATAGCAATTCGTATAATCGTGGATAATGCGACTAAATGAAGAAATGTTTTATTTTCAGAAACATGCAAGTTTTATTAGAGCTTAGTATGTATTTACACGTACGTACATTTTAGTAGCTTATACGATAACAGTAAAAAAGAATTACTCTAAACGTGCTGCACACTTTACACCCAAACTTATTGAAAGCTTAAATCACATATGTGTGTATGTACATATTTTAAGTTGTTTATGCATATCCTATATAAATAGGTATATCCTATACCCTAGAGCAATCCAAAATGTCATGGTTGTGTGCACTTTAAGAAACGCTCTTAAATCTAACAAGTAATAGTTATTGCTTAATCCAGAGATATAGTAAGCAGTGCATCCTCTGGATGTACTTCCAGTAACGCCTTCGCACCATCATTGAATGGATAGGAAATGCTACCATCGATCACAAGATCTGAAAGTGTTGAAAAAATATCCAAATGATAAGAAAATTAAACATATTTGGAGCATGACATGCTTTTTTAATCAATTGAAAGGACAGGTGACAAAGTAAATATAATAAACGATTGAGAAAAATTTGAACATGACTGACAACTGTCTGAATAAAACGAAAACATGTTAGAAAAACAACCAGTGCAGCAGTCGTCGTTCAGTAAATGCAAGTCGTTATTTAGGGTAAGCAACATATCTTAATTTAGTTAAGTGTGTGGCATGAGCCATAGATTTAATGGCAAGACCTTGAAATGGCAATTGAACTATTTTGTAGAATCCCAGTTTGCTATTTGAATTTCAAACGGAAACAGTAAAACTGCTAGTGTACAACTATGCCATTGTGCTACTGATAGCAAATCAAGATGTTGGTTGGAACTACAAATTCAATGGTTTGTACATCCGGCTGCATTTATATAGCTTGGATATAATATTATACTTTTAGGCATTGAAATAGCAAGTCGCTTCGGACAGGAGTTGATCGAGCCGACTATATTGCCGAAATTTGGATTGTGTTTTCGACTGTTAACAGTAATATTCAACACGCTGGCCGCAAATGCCATCTTAAATCCGGTAAAAAGAAACTAAAGATTAATTTAGGGTGTCCCCGATTTTTATGCATTTCGTTTATTTTTTTATTTCATAGAAGCGATATAATCGAAAATTTCTACTACCATGCATACTTTGGAACTTCTATAGCATTACTGCCGTGGCGGAAAATATTTTTGAAATTGTCTGGACCATGTACGTTTTGGATGTGCCATTTCATTTATTTGTGACCATTTCAATGGTTGGTATATTTATGATTTGTTTACAAAGTAAATTAACGCTGCAAGTGTTGCGTTTCTATGAGTATTTAAATTACAAATAGTATATAAAGAGCCGTCAAAACCACAACAAAGGAAAGCATTGTGAGCCTTATTAGCAATTGTTAAAGCAAAAGATACAAACATGTAATAAAAATATACATTTTGATGGTTAAACAAGCCCATAATTACTTACTCGCATCAATGCAACGTGACTTCACAAATAAGCTATTCACGAATCTGCGCGCCTTGAAGTCCTTTGGACTTGGCCAAACACCAACACAAATTTGTTCGCGTATTGAATAGCACAAGCGTGGATCATCTAGAAAAAAATAGCATGAAAACTAATGTTAATAGAAAAATGAAAAAAATATTTCTTTTTGTTTTTAGTACCAGGCGCAAAGCGTAAATTTTGATTGTATTGAGTTGCAATTGCGTCAGCATCAAAAGCAGGCATTGGTCTGCCGCCGCCGGGCTCGTCTATGGGCAATATACGTACCAGATCCTCAACTTGTTGGGTTGTAATGCGATTTATGCTGAAATGAGATTAAAAGAAAAAAAGTAGTTTTTCGTCTTTTTCCATCTTTTTTTTTATTAAAATATTAAAAAAAAAGTTTTTAATATCGCTAAATATATAACGTCAACATTTTGTAAGAGACATAAGTAAATTAGTGCAGACACAAAACGCTGAAATTTGGAAAGGGTATTGGAAAGAGAGTATTAAAAATCGCCGCTATTGCAACAATAATCTAGCACTAAACAGCCTAAAACTTAATCCATCTTGAACCAAATACATGGCGCCATGACCAAATAATTTTTTTAATTCACCGTTTTGGTTTGGTTTTTGGTACTAGTTCCTGAGCTGAGCATTTTTGTTTTTGAAAAACGAGAATGAAAATGGGGAAACTTCCAAATAATTCTGAATATAAATATGTATGCATTTCTACCTCGTGTGCCATGAAGTCGATCCTGTTCCAGTGCTCACGCATAATCCAGAACACTTTGTTTTATTGTCTATATCCTGATGGTTGATCACTAATTGTAAATGTGATACACGTGCTGAAAGTTGTTCGCCAATGAAAACCTAAAATGAAAACTTTATTATAAAATTTTAATTACATTTACTATAAGAATTCTAACCTCGTTCAATGCTAAATAGGGCAGAACTCGCTTCATTTTCGCCTTGTATCGCAACGCCCATGACTTACTCAAATATTCCGGTTCAGTCTTTTCTTGTTCCATTTTGGTTACAGTGTGGCGATATAAATCGGTAGACTCGGGGATTTTACCATTATTGCCAAGTATAGAAGTACGAATGCGTGTACGATACATCCATTGGAAATCGCCCTAAAATTTTTAAGTGAATTAAAGCAAAGTATCACAAAGCATTAAACCAACCAAATAAATAATATATTTATTTACATGCAGTTCGAACTTACACTCTTTATCCTGGCCACCGCATCTGCTGTATTTTCTGTATAATATTTTGGCAACATTAATCGACCCTCGGATCGTTGTGGATCTGAGTTAAAGCCAACAATGGGTGTTTTCTGTTGACTCTGTGCAAAAAGTGGACTAGCGCGTCCGGCTGCAAGCAAGAAGGTGCCATCGCCACCAACAGGCACAATCAAATCCGCCCATTTCATTATCTCCTTGCTTAGGGAGCTTCTAAATTCGACTCTAATTTTAGTAAATTCAAACATCCATCAATCATTCAGACAAACGCAGGCACATATGCATTTATGGATATTAATTTAAATTTGAAACAAGACACAAAAGGTTGCAAAATTTTGGATCACGTGAGATAAGAAAAAAAAATCGAATTGGTTTAATAGTGTGCATGTATGTACATTAGACTGTCCCAAGAATATATAGAAAAAAAAAAATTTTGAAAATATTGATATGCATACCCTCCGTATTTGTGCTTTTTAGCCTAAATAGCATATACACGAAGTTTTATGGCCGAAGGATAACGATAACCCTTGCCGACTTTTAATTGAACTTTTAGTTAGTTAAGTTTGGAAATGCGAAAATTTCGATGTTTCCCATATTTAGAGGATAATATTTTTAAAGGATATTTTTGACATGTTCCAAAAGGATAAGTTAACAAAACACGTGAACTGCACAAAGATTATTCTGATAACATTGACTGCAAGTCGGCACGTGTTTTTAAGACAAACCCTATGAAATGAGGGGGTATGCGTTAGAAAAAACCAACTTTGGTTTTTTGGGACAGTCTAATGTACTTACTTATTTATGTATGTTTGTTAAGAATATAACCAATATGCATATGCATAGAAATGAGTTGGTTAAAAATGAAATATTAAAGACATAAGCATGCACTTTCTTTGCTATGTAAAATGATTTATTTACATTTAGCGGTTATGCTTTTTGAATTGCTTTTAATTTAATGTATGTATGTTCAGAGAAAAGGTTAGCCCGACGACTCTTTTAGTGTACTTTGCCACCAATGCTTCGGCACTCACAAAATTAGTTACTGCATCAAATTAAAGAACGTTTTCATACGTTTCTAAGGATCGAAGCTTTACCGCTGAAGTACATTTTGGGCCGTCGACCTTATATGTAAATGATGCGTACAAATGGCATGCAACATTCAGACTAAATACTACCGTTACCTATTAGCCACTTTCACTTCGCAGCCAACATCTAGAAAGCTATGTACCACGTTTCTTTCAAAATCCTTATGTAAGTTATGGAGATACATTAACATCTCATAGTCGGTGCCACGATCGCGTAGCCTTTTCTCCAACTCTTCACGACTGAGTTTTGGATAGCGCATCTGTTCGAATTCATATCGTGAAAATTTGGTTATAATAAGCGCACGTTGTAATTTGAATTGGGGTGGTGGATATTTGGCCATACCCTCACCAGCATCCTTGTTATGATTGCTGAATTTGCGCCATGCGCGATAATCTGAAAATAGAGAACCTTTATTACATACATAAATATGTAGTTCTACTTGTGCATACATTTACGTATGTATAAGCGTTGTACATATCTGTGCGCTTTTGACAAAACAACTCATTTGCTTTCGGTAGGTTGGAATTTAACGGAAAATATAAGAAACTTCAAATTAAAAATTTACAATTTTATTTACATAACTTTCATTAATATAGCATCTTAAACTAATCGTATTATCGATTAAAAATAAAAATATCATAAGAGAAAATAACCTCACTCGTCACAAGTTGTTTTGTCAGATATGCACAGATATGTATGTATGTGGGCCGGCTATCGATCCTGGCAGAGCTTTTATTAAAGTAAATTATTTAGGTTAATAATGATATATTGTTGATACCATGATAAAAACATAGCAAGGTAGAACCGTTCTCTCAATTTGTCGGCCATGATTTTTTTTTGAAGTTTGCCAACATTTTAAAATCATATAAAAGTGAAAATAAAAAATTGAAATTGTTCGAAATTGTTGTTGCTTGAGATTGAAAATGAAAATGTGTGTGTGAGTTTGTGAGTAAATTTAAAAATTAAATTGTTTGGAAACGTCAAGAATTTTAAAAGTGACTCTCAGCGGTTCTACCTTACTATATTTTTATCATGGTTGATACTTTCTCAAAATTTGAAAATGAAAGTCTTTATCAAGGCACATTAAACAGGTAGTATCAGTAGAGCAAAAACAACATTTGCGTGTATTTTGTTGTTGCTTCTGGTATCGAAAGTGTCAAAAACTGTTCTGAATTTTTTCTTCTAAATCAAAGCGTGCCATGTGAAATACAAAAAATTATAAAAAATAAAAAATTGAAATTGGAAAAAATAAAAATTGATGCAACTTTCTTTCCTAGTAAATTTGTTTGCTTCTCGAAGCATTGATCCATCCTTTGCAAGGCCCAGTAATCAGCGGTCGTGCTGCTGAGTTGGGCGAACGTTCCAAAAGCTGCTATTCAATCGCTTGTTTTGTATGGAAAAAGGTTTCACATGCAAATGGATTTTAACAATTCAGAATTTTTGTGAGAAAAAATTAAAAATATTTGACATTTTCGAGACCAAATAATTTGAAAATAAATCAAATCAGCTGCTCTACTGATACTACCTGTTGAATGTACCTTGGTCTTTATAAAGTGAATATACAACAAACATTTAGGTTAGAGAACTGATTCTATGTGTTTCTCTAGGGTAGAAGGTTAGAAAATGACTAGGAAAACTGTCGAGATAATGCTATAATATCTACAAAAAGAGGACTTAGTTCTCGATATCGAGAAAAGGGTTAGATATCTAATCGTATTCTAACGTTGAATTCTAACTGGTTTATAATGTCTAGTTTTTTCTAGTCATTTTCTAATCGAATTTTACATAGTTTTCTAACCTTCGGAAAACATCAGAAAACTATGTACATACATTAGAAATCTAATGTAAAAGAAAATGTTTATCTAACGTTAGAGACTGTGGGTTTGTAACATTTATTTACTTTAGATATTGAAAAACTTGAGTTAATTCTGCAATTTTGGATTCATTGTAAAAATTCCATGTTCCAAATACCATGCATGTGTGTATATTTTTTAAACTATGCATTGATTATTGGGTAAGGAATTATAAATGAATGCAAATTTAATTACATATGTAAGTATTTATGTATATATTTTAAGTAACCCATCACGTTCTCCAAAATTTTTTTAATACCTACTTATACGCTTTTAAATGAAAATATTCGTATGTACATACATATCGAGCCCTAACCGCCAAAATAACGTAAACGACATTTTTTTCAAAATTTTCTTTTTGATGCAGAAATGTATCTAGATGCTCTAGGAATATTTCTGCATCAAAAAGAAAATTTTGAAAAAAATGTCGCTTACGTTATTTTGGCGGTTAGGGCTCGATATGGTCCTAAACTTTCGATTGACTGCGATCGCTTGCGTTATCAATTCATTAATTGATAGTACAAATATATATACGTGACGTCGCGTTTTTACACACTAACTTTACAGATAAGTACGCATGTATGTAAAACAATATGTACGACTCGCATTGAAACAAAACTTTTGCAGAATCTGCCATTGAACCTTTCCTACATACATATGTAGTTCGAACCATGCTGCTGCATTTAGCACTTGTGAAAAAAGATTCAAATTTGGGTGGAAATTCTTGGCATTGTTTTTAGTTTCCTACAAAGTTTTAAACTTGGATATGGGTTTTGTAAGAGATGGAGCCATGA